GAAGATCGAAGACTTTTTTTTCCCCAAAAGAAAATTTTTGTCCGATTCTACTTCCAGGACCACTCTTTTTTTGCATTTTTACACGTTTGTGGTAGAAATCAGTTTTACCGGGCTGGCGTAAGCTTAAAGATTACCGCAGATCTGACATTTTACCAAACTTTGACTGCTTCTCAAATTTGAACCCACCGTTGTATTGGCTTGAAATTGGGCTCAAATGAGAGCTACTGGAGTGGACAACATAGGGGAAGTCGGCGCTTGTGGTAGAAATCAGTTTTACCGGGCTGGCGTAAGCTTAAAGATTACCGCAGATCTGACATTTTACCCAAACTTTGACTGCTTCTCAAATTTGAACCCACCGTTGTATTGGCTTGAGATTGGGCTCAAATGAGAGCTACTGGAGTGGACAACATAGGGGAAGTCGCGCTTGTGGTAGAAATCAGTTTTACCGGGCTGGCGTAAGCTTAAAGATTACCGCAGATCTGACATTTTACCAAATTTTGAGTGCTTCTCAAATTTGAACCCACCGTTGTATTGGCTTGAAATTGGGCTCAAATGAGAGCTACTGGAGTGGACAACATAGGGGAAGTCGGCGCTTGTGGTAGAAATCAGTTTACCGGGCTGGCGTAAGCTTAAAGATTACCGCAGATCTGACATTTTACCAAACTTTGACTGCTTCTCAAATTTGAACCCACCGTTGTATTGGCTTGAAATTGGGCTCAAATGAGAGCTACTGGAGTGGACAACATAGGGGAAGTCGGCGCTTGTGGTAGAAATCAGTTTTACCGGGCTGGCGTAAGCTTAAAGATTACCGCAGATCTGACATTTTACCAAATTTTGACTGCTTCTCAAATTTGAACCCACCGTTGTATTGGCTTGAAATTGGGCTCAAATGAGAGCTACTGGAGTGGACAACATAGGGGAAGTCGGCGCTTGTGGTAGAAATCAGTTTTACCGGGCTGGCGTAAGCTTAAAGATTACCGCAGATCTGACATTTTACCAAACCTTTTTTCTAAAAAAATGTTTTCCGTCCGAATTCTACCTTCATGGACCACTTTTTTTTGCATTTTTACACGTTTCAGAAGATTCTAGGACCTTTTTTTCAAAAAAATGTTTTCCGTCCGAATTCTACCTTCACGGACCACTCTTTTTTTCATTTTTACACGTTTCAGAAGATTCTAAGACTTTTTTTTCAAAAAAAAATTTTTCGTCCGAATTCTACCTTCCTGGACCACTCTGTTTTTGGCATTTTCACACGTTTCAGAAGA